AAATCAAGGTGTTAGGATTTTGATAAAAATTTTAATTTTAATTATAGTGTCATTTGCTCTGAGGAATGATTTCTTATGGATGAGAATGGGTTAACAAAATTAAGAAAATCTTGTTTATCAGATATAGAGTCATAAAGTAGGAATGGATCAGACATGAATATTTAATAAGATTACATTTTGAGTTATCATTCTCTTAAAATAACAAACTTTATTTTGAGAATTTAGAATCTATTATTTCCAAGCTATTTTACATGATGCAAGGTAATATCCTGAGAGTATTAGAAAGCACATGCTATGTAAAAATCATGTTCACTGAATCAGTTGTTAACTGTCAATAACTTGTATTATTTAGCCTTCTTAGTTCCAGAGTTTGCAACTTAAGAGTTGGAGATGAGATTAAAATAAAAAGCTGAATGTTTAAATAAAAATTTGTTACAGTAAATGACACATCACCATGATTCCCTACATAATATTCTCTCTTAACGCTTCTGTGGTGGCACTCAACTGTAAGCACAGTACTGGGAGGCTGAGGCAGGTAGCTGAGGCAGGAGGATTGCTAAGTTTGAGGCCAGACTGGGCTACATAGTGAGTTCAAGACCAGCCTGGAATACACACCAAGGCCCTGTTTCAAAAATAACAATAAAATTTAACAATATTCTTCCATACTTCAAACACAATCATTCCATTATTTTTGCCAATTTCTGAAGCAATTATGGAAATTTTCTTTCACAAGCGTTTTAGCTATGCTGTTATGGCTGCTTGTTTGTCCTAAATCAATTCAAAGCATTTACTATTTTAACTTTACTTTTATATATTACTTTGGTAAAGAATCAGAAGTTGTACTACGTCAGATATTGTGAGGGTAGATGAAGAAATACTATAACAATATTCTTATAAACCTGTAATTTTTATTTAAACATTCACTGTGTTTTGTAAACATATGTCATAGATTTTTAAAAAGTAATCTGTTATCAATTAGAAAGGTACTAAATGAGACAGCCCTATGCTGGGCATGTGTGGTACTTAGTTTAGATTGTAATTTAAATCCTTAATAAAAGCATCCTTCGGTATCTAAAAAAGGAGGAAATTGCCAGAATAATTTAGTGATAGAGCACAGACCAGGTGTGTAGGGTTTGCTAGAGGTCTAGATGTCAAAATATTTAAGCATTAAAAATGTCTTTCAGGTAAGGAACTTAAAGCCAAAAATACACCATTAATGGTTGTGTAGTAAAACATATCCTTGAGCACAAAGTGGAGGTAAGAAAGTGCTTAGGGTTTTATATTTGCTAGGAAGAATGTATCTATTGAGATACAATCAGTAATTATCAAAGTCACCTACCATATAGTATATAATTGGTCAAATAGAACTTGCTCCTTGTTGCAAACTAAATATATTTCCCACCATCAGTTCACATGCTTAAATTCCAACCCTCAGTGTGTTAATGTTAGGGGGTCTTTGAGAGGTAACTAAGTCATGAGAATGGAGCCTAGAAATCGAGATTAGTGCCCTTATCAAAGGAACTACAGAGAGCTCCCTAACTCCCCTTCTGGGAGTAGTGAGTTGTGTGCAACTCAAAAGAGGGTCTTCTCCAGAATTTGACCATCTCACATCTTGACTTTGCTCTTTCAGCCTTCGGCTTATGAAAAATAACTTCTGTTGTTTGTTGATAAGCCAAACTGTGGTATCCTCTTTTAATAGCCTGTCTTAGTTACTTTCCTCATACTGGAACACAATACACAACACCTGCAACTTACAGAAAGACAAGTTTATTTTGGCTCACATTTTTAGTCCATAGTTGACTGATTCCAGGGAAGGCATGGTGAAAGAGACTGGGGGAGGAAATTTGCTCCTCTCTTAACAGCCAGCAAGCAGGGCAAGTGGAGGGAGTTGTCCAAGAGAGACATGAGCCCTTTCAGGTCATTGTCCCATTGACCAGCCTTTTATGACCAGGTCCCTTCTCTCAACACAATCTAGCACCATCTAATCTCATTCCACAAAGTTTTGCCTCTGAGTGAAGGCTTTGGGTGACTATCCAGATATAGATAAACAATAACATAGTCTGAAATGCCTATAAACCTTGATTTGGATATTTCAGTCTTATATTTTATATATTGGAGTTAGTTACTATGACCAAGGAATCCATAACTAAATCCTGAGAATGACCAAAAATTACTCACACCTGCAATGAATATTTATCTTATAACCTACTTTATGGTAATTGCTTTACAGTATTTATAAAGAGACACATATCGTTTTGGACCAGATCTATTGCAAATATGTTATCACTACCAGTTTGGCATTTTGAAGTTACAAGTATTTAAACAAACCTGCCAAATCTCTAAAGAGATTTTTAGGCAGCTAAGAACCTAGAAAAATGAACAACAGTTAGAGATCTAACAGGATTACAAATAAATGGATATCTAAATTGAAGAAGAATGAGGAATGCCTGGAAACAAGCCAGGGAGCTGAAGCCAGAGAACAGAAAACATCAAACCATTTGCTACAGGAAGAGAGAAAAAAAGTAGAGTTGAGAGGTTAAATAAAAATGGAAAAATCATTCTTTCCAAATACATACATATATATACACACATATATGTGTATATATATATATATATATATATATATATATATATAAATTGTTTTCCCTGATACCAATGAAATATGTAAATCTCTGGTTGATGCTTATTATATAAACAACTATGTAAAGACATCTTCAGGAGACTTAGGTTAGTATACATATGTCAATTGATGAACGATCAGTTTGTAGGAGAATATCAAGTCTACCTGAAGTGCTGTTTTGGAGGAAAGCACCCTGCCCACCCTTCCCTAAGAAACAAGGAGGGAGAAGGATTTTAGTGTTAAAAACTCTGATTTATTCCCTAGAGTTTAGAGTCACAGGCTTACTTTGATTTACCAAGCCTCTGCAAAGGTCAGAGCACATGTTTGAAAGAAAATTCACCTCTGGAAGACTCTCCTTTGCCTGAACTAGGAGACATTATCTAATGGGAAACGGACTCCACTTCCATCTCAGACTCTGGCCAGCTGTCTGCCTCCTAGTCCAATGAATTTTGCAAATGAAGGCAGATGCAGGAAGAGTGGAAGGTTATTTCTAAGACTTTGACAGAGGAAGGGTAACTTGATTGTGGTTGAGGAGGCAATATCTCTGTATATCCCAGAAAAAATTCCATATTTCCTCATACGTTTGTTTTCTTCTTACTGGAGATGGGAAAATGAGAGCAACACTGTAAAAGACAAGAAGGAGAAGACAGGCTGAGAGTTGTCCACACTTTATGCACAGGCTAGGGGTGGGGATGGGAGATCCAGAAGGCCCCTAACGTTGGTCTTCTGAAGGCCTACAAGCCACAGGCCTCCTTACAAGAGACAGGACTCTGGGTCTGGGAAGGCAGGAGGATCAGGTGTGAGCAGAGTCACTAGAGACTAGAGGATGGAGTGACAAAGGTCACACACAGGCAGTTAATCACCCCATGGGAGTCTGGTGCCTGCAGGTGTCTCTTTTTACAAGTCAGCACCAAAGGGCTGAGGTGGGAAGGAAGAAAGCAGGGAAGTCTCAGGTTGTGAGGTGCGAGTTGCTGAACTACACTGTGTTAGCACAAAAATCTGACCCAAGTACTCCCACCTCACATTCTTCAAAGTGGGGCACGTGGTTAGTGAGCAGCCATAAGCCAGGCCTATTTCTTACCCTCCGCTTTGCATGAACCAAACTGGAGTCCTGCTTCTGCCCTCCCCACAGGCCGCAGCACTTTGAACTCCACTGTCACCCACAAGCACTGAAATGTGGAGCATTCACCCTTGGCCATTTATTCCCAAGATCCCTGGGCCACGGAGATGCAAGTCTTGTTACATCATGAGCTACCCCTGCCATTGGTTCACTCTCTGTTGTATGTCCCACTTTTTTCTAGGGTTCACTCATCTCCTTATCTTATAGAAAACCAAGCAAAACAAACACATAACCAAAAAGTCCTCTAACTGCGGTTTGGTTTGGGGATATATGTGGATTGTGAATTCAGAACGTTTCTCCTACAACGAAGGTCTTTCTTTCTAATAAAAGCTCTTGAGCCTGTATTTCTTTATGCCTTTCCTTAGTCAGTGGTTAAAAGGCGATCCCAGGTGAGGCTGAGTCCCCCTTGCTGGGGACTGACACTCCTCCTCCCCCAGACTTCTCTCTCCAATGCGGGGAGGGCAGCAAGTCTGTCAGCTATCTCTAGAACTTCAACTTTCCGTGGCACGATGAGTTTCCAGAAAGCGGGTTCCAGCTCTAAGGACCACTGGCTGAGCCAGCTAATTGCAAAGCAGCGCGGTGTTCACTGCTAGGGGTGAGGGGTGTGTTTGGGAAGGAGGTGGGGAGGCGACACAGGAGCGCAGAGTGGGATAGGCGGGGGCACAAGCGCGACGTGTGGGAGTTAGTGGGAGCCGGTGGGTGAACGAGGACTGGGCTGAGGAGTACGGTGGTCTTGCAGTCTCAGCACCCATAGGGCAGGAGCGGCGGCAGCGGTGGCGGTAGTCACAGCTAGCGGGACGGAGTTAGGACCGCTCGGAGCGCCAGGTCTCGAGGTAGTATAAGGTTTGCCATCCTTCCACTTGCTGCCAGTTGCAGAAGAAGATCTGCTTTTTAAGTGAAACGTACATGCCACCCCTCCCAGGGCTGCGGCTTCCCGGGGCTGCTGCGCGGCGCCTGCCCGGCCGGGCTCTCGCGCTCACTCTCTGATCCGTGCGCGCCCCCAAGTTTGCCGAGAGCTCCCCGGCGCTCGGAGCGGGGTCCCGGACCGGGCCCGCGGGAGGGGGCTGGGAACCCGGAACCGCAATCCAGAGGCGGCGCGGGCCATGTATATTTCATCAAACGGACTTGGGGTGAGTCGCGTCTCGCAGCAGTCAGCGCGATGTGCGGTGACATTTCTGACTTGAGTGGAGGAATGCGCGAAGGAAGCCCGGGCGAAATCGGTGCTGGAGGATCTTCTTGGCGCCAACACTAATTGTCCTGATTTATGCCCCTTCTGACTAAGCTCAACGGCTCCGTGTGAAAGAAAATGAAAGCGGTGCCAAGCGGGATAGAACCGCCTGGCCACCGGGTCTGACCCCTCCGGAATCAGAGCATCGTCCTGCAGCTGAAAGAAAGAAAGAAATAGCAATAGGAAAGAGAGTGGAGGAAAATCCCTCCGTAAAAGTTTAAGGCAAGAAGTGGCAGCAGCAGCGGCGGCGCGAGGAGGCGCGGAGAGCCGGCGCGCGGGGACCGGCTGGCGACACCTCCGAGGGCTGCGATCGCGTTATCCACACCGCCGCGTTTTGGAGGGAGAGGCACCTTTCCCATCCGCGCTTCCTCTCCGCCCACCCTCCTCCCTCCCCCTCATCTACCTGTCAAAGTCACTGATCTTTTGCATTTCGGAAGAGGACGTCAACAGGAAGGAATTCCCCCTCTGGGCGCGGGCTCCAAGAGGGGGCGACGCGCAGGAGGCGCCCCGGGCCACCAGGCGAAGGTAATTAAGCTGCCGCCCGCGGCGGGCCGGCGCGGGTTCTGGGTCCGCAGCGTCCTCCCGGCGGTGGGCGACCGTGACCCCGGGGCCCGCGCGCCCACCCCTCCGGCTCCGCGCGCCCGGGAGGAGGCTCCGCGGGAGCTGCTGCCGCCCCAGGCGCCCCGGGCTGGGCCGGGCAGGGCCGCCGCCCCGCGCGGACCGCTGGGCTCCCGCCGGCCGCAAGGGCACCGGGCCGCACGGTAGGTACCGCCAGCTGCCCCTTCTCTCCCGAGGCGCCCGGCGCCTCGCGTCCCTGCTGATCCTCTGCCTCCCTCCCTCTGGTCCGCCCCCCGGTGCCAGCCACAGGCGGGAGGGGAGGCTCCGGGTGGGCAAGGAACTTTGGAAAGCGCCTGGAGGAGGCAGCGCGCGGAGCCTGTGCGCGCACTCACAGCCCGCACCTCTCACACCCACACGCGAGTCTTCCTGGCTCTGCTCGCGGCGGGTTCCGCGTCTGTTGCACCCGGAGCCCGGGCGTAGGGTCGGTGCCTCGGGCCACCGACTGACTACGGCAGGGCGCTCCGCCTGTCTCTTGCACACCTGACCACACACAACACTCAGGCAGGTTATTATCCTTATTGTTTCTTTGGGCAATTGTCTGCTTTGGTGAAAAACTTGCCCTGTTGCCAGTCCTTTGGAGCTGGTGGCTACACCGGGATCTTATGAAATCCGTCTTTTAATCTCTTTTATTGGTACGGGATTAAAGCATTATTATCCCACGTTGTGCAACTGGAGAGAAAAAAAAAATGAAAGAGGGAAGGACTTGGTGTAGGAATGCTGCTTGGAATATTTTTTCAGATATTGGCATCACATTAATCCCTGAAGGGATTGAGCTAGAGACATAGAGTTGCTCTCTGGTATAGATCTGTGGATATCTATATATAATACACATAATACCGAATATTATTTGCCCCAAAATAACCAATTAAGTGATTCATACCAGAGAAAACTTAGATTAAAAAAAGAAACTGCGCCCTCTGCCGTTTATTTTGGTCACCTCACCTGGGGACCTTTTTTCCTCCCCCACAGAAGTGCACTTGAGCAGGTTGTCATTTTACAGGGTAAGGGAGGAAAATTCCTTTAGGAGAATTTTAAGACAACTTTATTTAGAAAAGAAAACCTCAGGCTGAGTTCCTATCGTTGCATCAGATATATATTTTCAGAGCATAGAAGCCTTCGTTCCGCACTCGCTCCCATTCTTGTCTGCACAGGAATAATGGAGCCACTCCTTGTCATGAGAGTTTGTCAATGGTTGGAATGGAAAATTCTGAGTAAAATTTAGAATTCTGCTAAACATATGGAGAACCTGGCAGTAAATTTGCTCTAGAAAAAAGACCTCATTTTGAGGCTGAAAATGCTAAAATTTTTCTTAGAGAAATGAAAAAAAGATTTTCCATAAAAATCATTTTTTCAGTATGTTTGGGTTAAGTTTGCTGAAAAGTTCTCCAGAAATCTTTTCTGGGGGACGGTAAGGCTTTTAAAATTTGTGTGATCCTTGAGGAGTATCTCTAACCTGTGAGGAAATCAGCAAGCCCATATTTCATGAAGTATTTTGAACTATGTCACTTTGAATGCTTTGCCCACCTTGCTTTCTGTTCGGCAAAGAAAAAGCAGTTCACAAAGTGTCCAAGATTATTTCTAAAGATAAGTGAGTTATAGTTTTCCATTAAAATAAAATTTGAATATCTGCATGTGGCTTATGGTGCAAGGAAAAGAATGCCTCAAGTATCTCACATGTAATGTTGCAGTTTACATGCATAAGGGCTGTATTTTCTTTTCTGTATGTCATGAAATGAAATATATTTAATCTTTAAAGGCAAACATGAGGGCATCTGGGATTTTATATATCTGGCTATTAATTTGATGATATTTCTTATTGTGAGATTTGAGCGGTAATCATAAAAATTTTATAAAGAAGTGATTTATTTTATTTGGACAAAAAGCTTTTTCCTATTAAATTTTTTTTGTTTTCTTTCACTGTGTGGGTATGTAGGTTACTATGATTTAGGTTAACTTTTTATGAAAAGGCTAACAGAGTTTGCAGTTCCTTTTCTATGTTTGCGGTTAGAGCAAACACTTGTTTTTGATTCCAGTAAAGTATTATTCTGAAAAAGACCAGGTAATATAATTAAAAGTTAAGCTATTATACATAGTTGATAGGTTTTCTAAGTGGAGATTTGGAGACAGTTTTTAACTTACAAAAGCACCAAGTCACGTGCAAAGGAATACATTTTCATACAACTTAGAAAACCGATTATATGTTAATATTGAAAACAGAGAGAGAAAGAGAGACAGAGACAGAGACAGAGAGAGGAGTTAATTGCATTATAGGTCAATAAGATATTTTAGTATACTTTCAAAACCAATTTTATTTTCAGAATCCAGAGTTTTGCTCCAAAACTTCAGGTGGGTGTGGATTTTCTCAGATGTGTATTTGAGACCTTGGATCTCTAAACATCTTTGTATGAGAATGAATCATTTGTTGCTCCTTGGTTAATTAAACATCCAGATTTCTTTTAGACTTTAAATAATTTTGAAATAATTTTATGTATTATCCAATCCCTAAGCATTCTATAAAATTTATGCCTTTTGATTTCCTTCTTTGGTTTTCTCTTAGTGAAAATAGAGGTCTTTAAAATACTAAGGTGTGTTACCTGTTTTATTAAGAATCTCCTGATAGGCAGTTGCTCATAATACCCAATCAAGGATGAGTAAGATAAACCAATGATGTTGCAGGACATGCTAAATTCCTTATATTTTGAGGGACAGTTAACAAAAAACCCCAGCAGCCTATGTTTCCTGTTAAAAAGCATAAAAGATGCTTTTTTTCACAACAAATAAATATGTGAAAGAGCAGTCAATGTATGTTAAAATAGTTTATCTAATAAATATTATTATGGATGTGTTGGGAGCTGCTAATTTTGAGATGTTATAGAATTTGTATATCTTTTTTCTTTATATTTTTATCTCAGTGGCATATGATTATAGTCAATTTTCCTTTTATTCCTTTTCATTCAGAAACATGCATATTTATAAAATTCTTAATGTCTATAAAGAGTGAGTGAATAGCTGTCTATTTCAGGTGCCCTCGAAGAGGGAATAAATGGAATAAATAACCTACCACCACCACCACCTCCTCCTATTATATAATAAAATGAATGCTGAAAGCCAGCTAGTGTTAGTATATTTACTGACAATATTTTCCTCTTACTTGATAAAATTGGCAATTGCTGTTAGAATGTGATTGTCTATAATTTTAATCATTATTATTTCCATATAATACTTTGGGAAGATTTTTTGTTTCCTCCTGATGACAGACAGGGTCTTTGAAATGTCTTCTATATACAAAGCTAATCCAAGGCACAAGAGAATTAACTTCAGAATCCTGGGAATATATATGTTCCATCTATGCAAAGCTATTTTATAGCCCATTTTAGCCTCAGTGAATAATATCTATCAGCTTTCCAGCCATGACATAATTTTATATTTTTTATTAGCTTCTGAAATTTATGTATCAGAGGTCTATGGGGATATTTTTACATTTTTTGGTATTTTTAAATAAAAAGTTTTTGATTAACAGGTAGAGCTGATGACATTATTTGATTACAGTGAGTCCCCAAGTTTGGCAAAGTAAAGAACTAGAGATGGGGTTGCCCAGAGCTCCTCTGAAGCTGTCCTTGTTTAGGTAATCTGGACCCTTGAGACAAATTCAAATGCCACATTACTTGGTAGTTAGTTCAGTTATGGTCTGGGAGGGATATGTTTGGTATATTAAGTATCAATATATGTCATTGACTGTCCTCATAATCGTTTTGCTTTGCTGTTTGTTCTGATGTTCCAGCTTTAAAAGCTCTATTGATAGTTTAACCTGATTGAATATAAAGCCAGAAGAGAATCATTGCCATTAGGTAATGGAAGTGCGGTGTAAGTGATATTCTGTTTGTATATCATTTTCTTTCCTTTGAAAATTCCATAGTTATTAAGTATTAAGTATTCAGTATTAATTCTTGATTTTCATAGACAGAGGTGTCCTTTCTATTGTGTGTCATGGGAGTTCATACATTTAATTTATTACCAATTTGAAGGTGAATGGATTTCCTTTGAAGGATAGCATGTGTGGCACAGACAAGTAAGGAGACCTTGAAATGAATGCATAGTAGGTGATATTCCAAAATTAAAAATTATAATAAAAAATAATTACATTAGAGAATAGCTTAGTGACCCCTGTTCCTCATCTGTAATATGCAGTGGTCACTATCTTTTTCTGTGTCAATGGGAGCTCATTAAATGTAAATTCTCCAGACTAACAAAACCATGCCATAATAGTGCTTGCCAAAGCTTGACATTTTTAATACATTAATAATATGTCTGTAATGTAATGGAAAACTATTAATCACAACTGGTTATGTGCCAGAAATTTAAGCTATAATTGGCTGCTTCTTGTCAAGAATGTCTGTCGCAGAGTCCTGCAACTGCCTAATATTCAAATATCTTGCACTCCTCTGCACTTTTCCTTGTCACTTCTCTAAATTTGATCAATGTTGTAGTCCATAATTCTGTGTAATGACCAGTATTATAATTCTGGTACACTTTAATGAGAATTCGTTATATTGGGATTGCTGTTTGTCAGGAGATAGTAACAGGCTCACATATGTTTCCTTAGTGTCCAAATTTTTCAGGTACCAATGTATGGTCATTCTTCATTACAAAGTTGCAGTAAGTCAAAATGTGGTTCAGAAAAATATAACCAAGATTAAGTGGAGAATCATATTGTTTAAAAAAAAATGGAAGGTTAATCTCAGGGATCATTCCAATATATGCCTGAAATCATATTTTCAAAATAATATTACAGGTTAACACATCCTGTTTATTCAGTTCAATTTTAAAACAATTCTGAGTTTTTGGTTGTATTGTTTTCAATAAATAAATTGTGGTGTATTTGCAACTAACAATCAAAGTTAATAATTTTTGACCAAGTGGATTTTAAACTGATTCACTTGTAATGCCCACTCTCCTTATTCCCACAAGTGTTTATTTTTCCTTTATACCATAAACACGTTGAAAAATGCATCTAGAAAATGTAGATTTATAGCATTTTAACACCTTTCTGTATTTATAAGTTATCTGAGTGTTGGATGTTGCTGAAAATAGCAATTTAAAATTACTAATGAGTAATGAATCTGGAAAAAGCAGAAGGCTATAGTAGCCACAACACATGGTCCTCTGTGATTTTTTTCTTGCTTGCTTAAGATTTGAAAATGTGCTCAACACAAAACAGTCCTTACAAGGAAGAGGAAGATTTAAATCTGTAGTTTATACATGTTTAGACGTACTGCTAATTATTGCTTCATAGGAACTCAAATATTCAACACTTTTCCTAATAGAAAATATCACAAATTGCAGCTGTATGATAACATTTTATGAATTGAATATAATGAAAATTGCACTTGCATCCATAAAGCAATTATTATAAATTACTTTGCTATGGAAACACAATTCAACCATCTGTTGGCATTTCAGAGTCTCTGTGGCTTAGTTCATTTTAAGATGGTACGTGTTATTTAAATATAGTGAATTACTTTTATAAGATTGTTTTAAGATAGTGTGCTTGCGCATTTAAACTGTTTTATGTGAATTGAAGAATTTATAATGGAATTTTCCAAAGTTACAGGCTTTTTCATCCTTTTCAAGCCATTTAAAAATAGTTAATAATTGGATTGTAATTAATAATTTGGAGTTTGAGTAGGAAACAAATAATTAAGGAAACACACCTTTTTCCCCAAACACCTGGATTCCAAGTGTTAGTGCTTTTTAAGATTTAAGTAATGATCTCTAAAGAGAAAAGTTGTGAATTAAATTCATCAATGACTTGTATCTAGTTGCATGGGTTACACTGTCAGTTTACCACACTGATTTTCAAATGGTAATTTTTATTTTCTGTGAGAATTAGTGCCATATTGTCCTGCTTCATAGCCTGTTACCTCACCTTCAGCTATTTTTATATGTGCACTTTAAATTGTACATTTTACTACAGAGCTTTTACTTATAAAGCAGCATATAATATTTGCCTTTGGGACAAATTCTCTTCTGTTAGAGAAAGTAACTGCAAATGCAAATGTAATGACTATGAAAAAGATATAAGAAAATAGGGAATTCTTATGGAAAGGATGATTTGTTCCTTTAGTTTTACTTCTGATTTTTTTTTTTTTTTAAAGAATGACAAGTTATCTTTATCCGCAAATGCAGCTAAACAAAAGATTGGTAAAGTCTCCCAATACAATGAGGAAATCCAAAGGGACAGAATCACATCAACAATACTAGTTTTCAACTTAGCTAACAAAAGTGTGAAACATACAAGGAATTTGGAGATTTTTAGGGTCTCTTTGCTAAGATTAAAAAAAAAACTTACAAGCAATTGTCATTTCTTTATTATTGTTATTTTTAAAATAACACATTTCCCCCACTGTTCTCCTAAAAGATTTTTCTAGCACTGCAATCTATAAGAAGTAGTTAAATCTAGCAGTTTGCATGCAGTTAGGATGGAAGCATACTTTTTGAAGTGAAACACGTGACTCACCAGAAACACACATCTTGTCTTTTTTATGGGAGAGGTAAATACTTCCTATCAAAATTCTCCCCAATATGAGTGATTTTCCTGGTTTTTTCATTCTAAGAAAAGCAACTGAGTAAAGGTTAGCCATATTACACCAATTTGCTTTGTATTGCATCCAACCTCCCAAATGTCAACATATCGTAAATTTTGTAAAGCATTGATTGTGGGACAATAACTCTTACTCTTATTGTTTTTAAAAGGGTATTGGTGCCAGAAAAACAGAATGATTGATGGGAAACAGACATCAGGCAATAAGACACTCGTCTTTTTGCTTCAGCTACTGATATCTCTGCACGTCTGAACAGTCCTTGTAAACTGGGAACGTGAAGATCACTCAGGGTTATCGGATGTACAATGAGAGAGCCTTCACTTTGATGAACTACCTGCTCCTGGACATCTTTAACAAAAAACAAACTAGACCTGAGTCTAATAGATATGTTCTAGGATGAAAAACAAGCTGCAAGTAGTTGATGCTAACACTCAAGTATGTTAGGCTTCCACCAAAGTCATCTGTATTCCTGAGTATGCACAATATCTAAATCCTTCACACTGGTTTTGGAATCTTTTTGAAATCTCATCGTCTCTCTCTTTTTTAAGTATACAGACCTACCTACATAAACAGACGCACATATGTATATGTAAAATAGACACAGATTACAGATAAGCCACGAAGACAACAAAGAATTTAGAGATGTATTTATCAAGATTCCTGTCCATTCATGCCCTTTGGGTTACAGTGTCCTCAGTGATGCAGCCCTACCCTTTGGTGTGGGGACACTATGATGTGTGCAAAACTCAGATTTACACAGAAGAAGGGAAAGTATGGGATTACATGGCCTGTCAGCCAGAATCCACGGACATGACCAAATATCTGAAAGTGAAATTGGATCCTCCGGATATTACCTGTGGAGACCCTCCTGAGTCATTCTGTGCAATGGTAAGGCAATGTTTCAAGTAGAGTATTTCATATAAATGATTGAACTGCATACACATTCCAAAGTGGTGAGTGTGAGACTCGATTCATGCAGGTGGCAGATTTGTGTTAACAGGCTGGCTTCATTCTCAATGGAAGATGCACTACCTAGAATTACAGTTGGTGCATTGGAACTTTCTGCTTCCCAGCAAATTAAGAGTTTCACCGAGTCTATACAGTGATCTATACAGTGATACCTCTGTTCCTGAACTTAACTCTCGCCATAATCCTGGTCGAAAACCAAAATGGACGAGAATCAAATCAGATTTCTCCATAAGATCAACACCGAGCCTAACCATTGAATTTGATTTGGCTCTCATGCACATTCCATTTGCAGCAAGAATCATGGCAAGAGTGAAGTTTGTGAGCCGAGGTATATATAAAATTCAATAGAAAGTTAGAGTTCAAATCAGAAATTGGAAATAAGGTTAAGTCAAATATGGTATATTAAAGGTAAAATTCATTGACAAACCAACTTTGAAGGTTTCTTTATGCTCATATTATGAGACTGTCTCAAATTCTGTGTAGTTGAGGTTAGATCTCATGGCTTCTTTCAACAAGCAAGGGTTGTGGTTTGGAAGTTCATGGTTAGGAGACCACTGAGGAAAAAAGCAGAGGAGAGAGGAACTAAAGTTTCCAGAGATGCTTTTTTAGAAGTCTTTTTACCAACTCACATTGCCTTTTAATATCAAAGAGGCATGTATTTTAAAGAGGAATGTTGGAATGTTAAAAACATAGTCACTGAAAAATAACAATCCAGGAAGTGAAAATTCAGGTATTCTTTTTTTATTATTATAAAAAGTTACAAAATGCATTGTTCTTGGTGTGTATAAATCTTTTTCTTAGGCGAAAAGTTAAATACTATGTGAAAAAATAACAAACATTGGGATGACATAATGAATTTCCACTATGAAAATAGCTGATAATATGCCTGTAGGATATGAGTAAAGAAATTGGTGGTTAAAATGGTGTCAGTTAACATATTAAAGGATTCAGACAGTATGTACGTTTAGTTTATATGGTTGTTTTTTTATATAGGTTGTCTTTACTTGATACAAGGACAGGGATCCCATTTTTCTCCTCATAACAGATATAATCTTATGGCAGATTTTAATAGTATTCTTGATTTTATTATCTTGAACCTGGCCTGGCATTTTTAGGATAGTGAAACTATTAATCAAAGTAGCATCTGCTCACAGTCCCCAGTGAGTTAAATTAGCATAAGATCATCTTAGACCAAGTACTATAGAAAAGGTTCTGTAACAGGAAACAATTTTAAGCAATAAAGAGTGTTTTCACCTGAAAGCTAAGGGCTTGCCATTTTTCAGAAGTGCCTTTGGGGACTGGTTTGAATTATAGTCTAAACCTGATTTTGTGGAGAGTGAGAAAAAGAGCTTGGCTATTAGGTGTCACTATGACTAAAGTGCCCTGAAAGACTAAATATTTCAAAGACAGGGCCCATCTCTCTAGGAAACAGGTATGCAATTTGCAAAGAAGTTACATTTTAGAAACCACAGGCTTCCTAAGTAGTTTATTCAAACATATTAAGAAAACTATAATAAATCTGTGAAAGAACAGGGAAATTTGTTGGTTTTGTATGAGGTCTTTAATAATTTCTTACAAAAGGTCAAATTTAAGATCTTATTGCAAATCTGAAGTGAAATTGCTCTTTGGGTGATAGATTGTGCAACCTTCTGCTCTTTTTCAGAGGAAGAGTTCTGGGCCAACTTTTTGTATTATTAAGAGCACTCTAGCTCTCTATATTAGTTTACATGATACTTGTAACAATATACTACTTCTGAGATTGTTTAATAATTTAAAGCCTCTGTAAAATTGCAAATATCCTTTCTCAGGTTGGTATTTCTACTTGCACAGGCCTTTTATGATGTGTTTAGGGTCTGATTTCTATGTGCAGCTTCTCTGTTCTCAGCCTGTAGCTGAAGAATACCTGATCAGCCCTGCTCCTATCCACCACATTGAAAGGTTTGCTTGGTGGACATCTTTAGCAAGTCCCCCCCCCCTCCCGTCATCCTAAGCAGGAAAGGGTATATTACAAGATTTCCCATGCTTGGCTTTCACAGGAACATGATCTGATGTATTATACAAGCTAATCCTTCTGAGTTCATTGACTAAGTGATATTGGAGGCCAAATGAGAAAAGTGAATTTAAATGATTTTCCTCTGCTGTCCTCAAGTTCAGAAAGATATATACTTTTTATGTTCACATAAAACTCCACAGAAGACTCTCAAAAGCTGCATGTTAATATGATGCAGATATTCAGGAGCCTTGATAGATTTTAAACTTGTCATTGAGCAAAGCAGCTTTTCAAGAGAGTCTGAGGTTTGTGATAATCCTTAATTTGTATTCCTTAATACAATGCAATAATTCCTTAATACAATAATTTGAATTCCTTAATATGGATTTGGGACTATATGCATGACTATTATATGCCCAGTCACTGATAATGGCCTAATGGTGCAACACTTCTCTCTGCAGTTTAGATTTCCATAAAATTATTTAGTTTAGAGGTTCCTGACACAAAGCTGTAAAACTTTTTCAGGTTACTGTCATATCAGGCCTCTTTATGTTCCCAAGGTCTAATAGGGATCCACCAAGTCACTTGTGTTATGATTTGAATGTTCTCTCCTCCTTTACTCTGGTGTCCAAACCTGCTCCCTCTGAGTCATTATGGCCTATTACATCAGGGTAGCTGCCAGATAAGCACAATCACTGTTTGGCCCCTACATGTAAATGTGGGCTGCAAAATGGTTTCACTTGCTCAGCTAGTGACACCCTTATTTAGCTATGGCTCTATTAGTTCTGAGCTCCAAGAGGAATTTGACTGTAGAAATGTCCTATAATTCTCACAGCCAGTTTATTTAATATGAAGTTGAAGTTCATTGGCATTGAATTATGAGTCCATGTTGCTCCTTTTGCATTTGCTCTATCATTGTTTGCCAGGGACTGTCCAGGAATGTTGCACTCATTTTAATCTAAAGTGAAAATTTAGAGAAAATGAGCATATGATTCCTTTTAATAATAGATCTCTGCTTATTAACCTAGTTGACATATTTAATAAATCTTCAGTTTCATGTATTTTAAAATAGGTGCATTTTAAAATATTTGTATTTTAATTATACAAGCATTTATAAACAGTCATTTTCTGGGAGAACGCTGCCGTTTCTAATTATGATAGTACAAAAGAGAAATGTTTATGTACATGAGTTACATGTTTTGTAAACTATACATTTGCTTTTATATTTATTGTATTCCTTTTAAATTGAAAGAGATTTAAGAAAAAAATCTGTTTTTGTCACGAGAAAGGAGTTTGGAAAATAGAGGAGAACTAATCACTTTTGTTGTTTGGGTTGGGTTAGAATATTTGTGGCGACCCAGTGCTTTCAGCCACATTACAAGCTCAGGTAGCACAGCTTTGTCAGAAAACACAGGTCTAGTGACAATAATTTGTTTCAATTTGCATAAAGAGCAAATAGAATGATCTGAACCTGTGTGTAAAGCTGAAGTGACAAGACAAAGCTATGACTTGTTCATTGTGTTTAGACAAACTTAGCTGTCATCTTTCCACGCAAAACCCCAGTGGCTTAAAAATGGCAAAATTATCTGCAATTATCTTCAGCCTGAAGCTAATTTTCTGGATAAGTTAAATAGAAGCTTTGAAAAGGAGCCTACAGACGGGAGAAATCGTGTGCGTTTGTACAATTTACGGTGCAGAAGTGCTGATGACTGTGGAAATGGGAGCCCTTGAGTGCTGCCATGGATTTCAGAGCCAATCAAAACTAAATTAGGAAACAAAGATTATTAAAAAGTCTTCTGTGCATGTAATTTTGCCATAATATTATGAGGTGGACATTAAATGTTTCCCTTGGAGACTTTCAGCATCATTAATGCAGCATGCCTTTAATTACAAAGAGACTCATATTACTAAAAAATGGTGAAAATAAAGTACTCCAAGGTGTAGTTAGCAATACTCTCATTATATTTACTGAAATAATTATAAGAAAGGGTATAATTTTTCTAAATAAAGTGTCAGAATTTGAAATGAAAATGGATTTTCTATAGAAAATTTACTAATGTGTACTGTGCTCTTGATAGGCATTTATTCAAGTACCTTAACAGGTCTATTAATGTTCATTCCATATTGGGCTATTTCTAGATAGAGTTCTATTAAGGAAAAAGTCTTTAATTACTGCAAGCATAAAATAGAGCATATTTTATTATACTCAAATGAAATTTACAAAGGTACTAGAAAGCCTTTATGTTTTACATTTTTAGAGGAATCTATGGGTTGAATGGGTGGTATTGCGTGGTCTCAAGGGTTCCCATAATATAAATTTAGGATGTAACATCATTTCATGTTGCTATCTGGTGGCTATTGAGTGACCTTTGAGAAATGAATTTGACAACTGATTATGGTTTCAATGACAAGAGATTAGTATCAGTTCTTCCAAAAAGTAGAAGTTATATTGACTTACATAATAATTTAATCATCTTAAAAATACACTCTGTTCATATGAAACATAATTTAATAAGTGAATGAAGTCTTAATAACAGTTACATCTTTCATTTGAACTGGTTTATCCCTTAAATATGCCAAGATGAAATTTTAAAAAATCTTTGGTTCTTTCAATATTAGCACTTTGCTGTTAGCTCATTATTTAGACATTTCTTAGAAAAGTTTAATTCATGTTTGTAATGTATTAAGTTCCATAGAGATCAGTCATTCTGATTTATCACTATATGAAGTAAATTGTTATTAGGAAACCTGCAATAGCTCCTTATTATCTATTACATCAAATCTAAAGTACACTATCTGCTGTTAAAATCTGGGTACATACAAACTTACCTCCCAAAACTTTCCATTGAACCCTATGAAGTCTTTAGAGGACTTAAGACTAATAATCTCATTGGAGGGAACTGCTTGAGGGGGGCTAAGGCTGCATTGG